ACCACCGGATGCACGCCTCCAGGTACTTCATGGCAGGGAGGCACCCGAAGGGACAGTCTTTTGTGCTCAGGCAGCAGCCGGAGACACTGCCCCACTCCGGACCTAACTAGGTGTCTCCAGGTAGATGACCCAGACCTCCCGTGGGCACTAGGGCCCCGTCTGAAGCCCCACCCACTATGGCCTACCTGGGCACACAGCCTCCAGGTACCAGATGATGAGGCCATAGAGGGTGGCGTCCAGCAGCAGGAGGCCTGAGACCTGCGCCAGGCTGAAGACATCTGGCGCCGGTCCACGGCCCAAGTTGTGCCACTGTGCGCCCTCACCCTGCTCCTCCAGCAGGGCCAGGCTCTCGCACCCGAAGCCGAAGGCCACTGGCGACAGCAGGCTCTGTAGGGGAGGGGGTGGGTCAGAGGGTGGCCTGGTCCTTGGGTGTGCCCGCCAGGCCCGACCGGCCCTCACCAAGGCCACGCGGCCACCCGTGGGCAGCCTGTCCCTCCAGGCAACACAGAGCACGTAGGGCAGGTACAGTGAGAAGTAGGCGAGGCCTCCACAGGCGGCCGCCAGGTTGGCACGCGAGAAGAAGATGCTCAGCAGAAAACTCTGGACCACGGTGGCTACCGCGAAGGCTGCCAAGAACAGGAAGACCACGGCCGGGTGGCTGTAGGGAAGGATGTCCCCCACCTGTGGAAAGCAAAGGAGTCCAGGATTTGGCCCTGCCTCCTGCTTATAACCCTTGCACGCGCCCCTCCTGGGCCCAGAAGGCGGGGGCGCGCTCACCTTAAGCACCAGAACGCACACCTTAAGCACCAGAACGCTCACCTTAAGCACCAGAACGCTCACCTTAAGCACCAGAACGAGCAGCGCAGCGCTGAACAGGAAGGGCCCGAGGCAGCTGAGAAACCAGCCGAGCCAGAGCACCGCGCGGCTGAGTCCCATTGCACGCATGGTGTCGCGCAGCCGCGTCTCCTTCTCCCGCACCACGGCCTTGACGGTCAGCGCCACTGAGTAGATCCAAGCCAGCGTCAGGAACAGCGGCAGCGACCGGCTCAGCACACGCAGGAACCTGAGGAACGCGACATTGTGGTGGATCTGAACACCCTGCGGAGCTCCCTCGTCCTCCTGGCAGGACCGTTCGCCTGGGAACCCAAGGCTCAGCCGTGGCCAAGATTCCTCGCCCCCGGGACTGGCGCCTAGGAATTAAGTGCGGAGGGGCGCGGCGCTCACACGTCGTCCACGTAGCACGGGTAGGGCATCTGCTGCAGGTAGAGGCCAGCGCGGGGGTCCGTGCCGCTGAGCACGCGCACAGCAGCGCGCTCCAGCAGGTCCTGCAGATACACGAAGCCGCCCCACACATAGCGCAGGTCAGTCAGGGGGTCCGCGGCCGGGCCAGGGTCCCAAAACCTGCGAGAGGGGAGTGGCGGTCAGCTGCAGGGAAGTGCTGGAAACTCTAAGGACCCGTCTTTCACAGCTTGATCTGCACCTTGCGGTTCAGTTACGCACCAGCCACGCCCACCACTGCCCTCAGCCCGGACCTACTTCTGTCTCCTCCCAGCCTAGGCCACGCCCACAGCGCCTAGGCGCCCAGCTTCTGTCTAGGCTCAAGGTCCACGGTTGGCCCCGTCCACCAAACTCTTGCTCCCGCCCACCTGTCCCTGATCTTATTGGTCCTGGTAACATCATCGATGTCCATGCGGATCTTGATTCGCACGTGGCCGTGGCCAGGGCCCAGGTCTGGGGCTGGCTTCTTTGAGGAGTCTGCCGGGTCCTCAGGCTCCAGGAAGACGATGCCGGCCCAGAAGCGGTGCTCGGCCAGCAGCTGCAGGGCCCGCGACACCAGGGCTGCCTCCGAAGGCGAGGCCTCCAGCTTGTCCAAGGACACACACTAGGGGTATGAATCCCAGGAGCTGCGGTCTGCCCAGCAGGGTATGGAGGACCTCATCGGGGTCAAGGCAGACTCCTCCCCAGGACCTCCAACTACGTTCCCCCTCAGACCTCTGTGAAGCCCAGGGTATCTGTGACCAGGCCCTCTGCCGGACAGAGCCCACCTCCCCCAGGGCAAGATTTGCCTCCGCCTTCGGATCCCCAGGTTAGCCTTGCCTCCTCTCAATGACTCAGACCCCCAGGCAGATGGCTCACTTCCATGACTTGGCCTAGTGTGCCCATCAGATGTCCCACATCAGCGTGGGCATCGCGCCAGCTGTAGCCACCCATGCTGGGGTCCAGAAAGGACTGCAGGGCCTCCGTCGGGTCTGGGCCTCCTGCTCCTGGCTGCCACCCCGATTTGTCCGGCCTTTGAAGGAGCCTCTGGGGGGTGTCAGGTGAGGAAAGGTCTGTATCAGGCACCCCTTCCTGTCTGTGGGGGCCCATCTGCCCTCCCACCACAGCTTTCAACTTCCACCTCCAGGCCCTGACCCCGCATGGCACCCCCACACCGTGGACCCTCACCCTAGCCCACCTGCAGAATAGCCACATTGGCACTGTTGTTCATGAAGTCAAAGAGTTGGGGTCCCAGCACCCCCCAGACCTCCTGGATATCCCTCAGCAGAGCCAGCTCCTCGAAGGTCCGGTTGGCCTGCAGGGAGGCAGCACAAGACCCGTCCTGGCCCTTCCCACTCACCACTTGCCACCCTCTGGGGACCCCTGCTGAATCCTGGCCCCGGGGCCCCGCTTCCATCTGTGCCTCTGAGCCTGTACCTGCTGGTCTCTGACGGCCAACAAACTCATACTTCTTCAGAATGCAGCTTCCGAGACCTTCTGGCCTGGCTGTGACACACCTGGCCAGATACCGGGTGGTGTCTGGCCACTTCCCTCCCGCCTGGCACAGTGCCCTCACCTGGGCCATGAGCTGCCGCGTGAAATTCGTGTCAGGTGCAAATAGCAGTTTCCCCAGGATCAGCGGTTTCAGGCGCCTCCAGAGCAGGCGGGACAGTGGGTGGTCTCCCAGAGCCCCCATCAGCTCAGAGCAGGCAGGGCCTGGGGTGGGGGTGCTGTGAGGCCTTGCCCTCTGCCCTCCGCCCCACTTCCCAGGTGGGGAAACAGGCCATTCACTTACTCAGGCCTTTGTCCGGCAGGTTTGGTGCTGGGTCCTGCCCCACCAGCTCCCTCAGGTCGCCAGCCTCGTACCAGTTGAGGGAGAGGCCCCCTGGGCTGCTAGGCCCCTGAGCACTGCAGAGGGCTTCTGACACCAGCTCCAGGGGGCCACCTGTCCCTCGGGGTCTCTGCAGCAGACTCCGAAGCTCCACCAGGCTGGGCAGCACCAGGAGCTAAGGCAAGGTCAACAGAGAGCACTGGCCATCCTCCCACAGCACCATCCATCTCCAAGCCTTACCCAGAGCAGGGACTCTGCCAGGAGCACCTGAACCCTCAAGAAATGTGCCCAGGCCATCCATCACCACCCCAACCCGGCTGGGGTCAAGGCTGGGTGGAGCCTCACCTCCTGGGCCAGGTCTTTGACTGCTTCCACAAAGCTGTCCATGGACTCCTGGACATGACCCAGGGCGCCCCCCAGGGATTCCTGTGGAGGAGACGGCAAGAACACCAATGGCCTCCTCTCTTCGTCCATCAGGTCTGTAGAGGCCCAGACCAGCACTTTACAAACAGGGAACTGAGGCTCTGAGAGGTACAGAGCCCAAGCTTCAGAACGGCTTTCCCCAGCTCCCCGCCTCAAGCCTCCCAAAAGGGGGGAGCAAGACAAAGTCAGGAGAGGCTGAGAGAGGGGGGGAGCACGTTCAGGAGTGGACTTGTATTTGGGAAGATGCTGTTCTTAGAATGTTCTGTCCAGAAAAGGCAGAAGGGGTAGGATTACAAGGGAGAACCCCAGTGGGCACACCTCCACCTGAAGCCACGCCTTGCTCTCCGAGCTGGGACCACGCCCAAGTCACTACGACATGCAGTGATTGGTCAGAGCCCTGTGCTTCGGGACTGGAAGGCGTGGTCATTCAGAGCGGCTTCCCACAGTCCAGGACTTGTTCAGTGGCACCCTGGAGTCTCCACCACCATGCTAGACAGGACAGGGGACACTGACTGCTCCAGGGGCCAGGCGCAGCCCTGGCAGGAGGCTGGAATCAGGCCCCTGCATGGTGAGCACTGGGGCTCCCTGAAACAATGCCCCAGAGGCCGCTGCTCCCACCCAGCCCTGCCTCACCCCCGGCAGCAGCATCCCCAGAAGCTCAGCGGCCAGTGAAGGACGCTCCTGCTGCCAGTCAGTCTGTGGAGGCCAGGCTGGAGGAAGGACACACAGAGGCACAGGGTTGGCAAGCCTCTCCTGGAACACCCCACTCCGACAGGGCCAGGCAGGCAGGCAGGCTGGGGCTCAGCGCTCAGCCCCCAGGGGCCCTCCCTACCTCTGCTGCTCACTGCCCTCAGCAGGGGCATCAGCTTTCCCAGGCCAGTCAGTGTCCTCTGGGCACTGGGACCCCCCAGTACAGTGCGTGCATCGGCCAGGAGCCGAGAGACCCTGGGGACAGAGTAGGGGAAGGAGGTGGGGTTTCGGGGCACTCCTGGAGCACTGAGCCCACAGGGGCCCCACCCCATGCCTCTTGCTCACAGGGAGTCATTGAAGTTGCTCAGGAGCCTGGGATTTTCACCAGGCGTTGGCTGCGGGAAGCAGGAGTTGTTCACGTTGCAGATGAGGCCCTGGAGCCAGGGCACAGTGCCCGCGGACGGCAGTGGCTTGTTGGGGAAGTGGCCTGTGGGGAGATGCCAGCTCTGCCCACCTCTGCACCACCCCGCGACTGCACACCTCTAGCAACAGAGAGCTCGACTGCAATCCTTGCAGCGGCTGCCCCTGGGCGGATGGGGTGGCCCATCGCTCCTCCCCAGACAGTGTCTGGCCACGGGACTCACATTCGTGGTGCTCCAGTGGGGGGTGGGAGTGGCGGACAGCCACCAGGATGAAGAAGAGGAAGAGGGGCCACAGCAACTCGACCAGGAGCTGGATCTGAGCAAAGAATGGGTGGGAGATTGTGAGCCCACGGGGGACACCTGCCCACCCCGCCCTGTTCCGCAGCTCGGGGCAGTAGTGTACCGGCTGTCTCTTGCGATACGTGAAATTCTTCCAAAGCAGCAACATCAGCTGTGTCCGGAAAGCCATGGTGAGACTGAACAGGGACGGAGGGGTCGGGACAAAGGTCAGCAGCGTCAGTCTGAGGACGTGCTGTGTGGCTGCCGACAACTGCCTGCTCCTCTCTGAACCCGTCTCCCATTCGACCCTGCAGGGCTCCCAGAAGTTCGGACCGAACCAGGTGATGAGCAGGTACTAGATCTAGGGACGCTCCTCGACCCAGAAGGAGTAAGCCAATGGGAACCCTGCCCGAAGCCGTCTTCGCAACCGATTGGTTGCCAGGGCTGTCGCTCTTAGCGGGCTACCGGCTGGGGTCTGAGAAGACCCTCCTGAATTCTTAAGGGGCGGAGCCTCGGCTTAACGCTTTCACTCCCAGGCCCCACCCCCAGGCTGTTTGCAGGTCCCATCTCCGCCCCATCCCCCAGACCTAGGCAAGGTTCCCTTTGGCCCTGTCGCCCAGTGATAACAGCAACGAATACTCACTGTGTTGGGCATGTCACACGCCCGGCTGGCAGTACTAGATTCTACTTCATCTTACAGAAGTGGAAACTGAGCCCAAGAAGGGGCACGTACAGCGGGAGACCGAGCCCAGCTCGCCGCCGCATCGTGTATCATCTCTCTCTCAGAGCGCGGAGAGGCTCCAGCAACACCTGACCATGTATTTCTCTAGGGACTGTTCAGCTCTGGGCTACTTTCTTGCACAAATGGGGAAACTAAGGCGCCCAGAAAGTCGGGAAGTTGCCAAAGGCCAACATCCATCTGGGGACTAGGACCTGGGACCGCGCGACCTCCACCTCCTCGCCAGGATTCTTTCTTAAGCAAGTGGCTTTTGGGATCTCTGGGGACCAACTCATTTACAAAGGGGTGGGGCTGGGGATCTCTAAGTGGGAAAGGCACTGCAGGTGTATGTTGCCAAAGGTCCCCTCAAGTGACCCCCATGCCCACTTCTTCCTACTGAGCTTTAGTGGTCAATTCAGCGCCCCCAACACTCCCAGGAAGGAAAGGAAGGGTGAGTGGGATCGGAGCTCAGCCAGTACCTCTAATTCCCAGGGAAATTTGCCTTCCTCCCACCCCACCCCCGCATTCTCGACTGTCGCGAGACAGTCCTCCTCTCCCGGTCCCCCTCACCGTTCCGGCCTCCAGCTCTGGCCCGCCTTCCCAATGCTGCCAGGGGGCGTGGCCCCTTTAAGAGAAGTCCGCTCCGCAGGCTCAGCCCCGGCAGGCTCAGCGCCCCCCCCCCCCCGCGGTTTACCGCCTTTGGCGTCCTGGTGCTCACGGCCGCGCCCTACACGCCCCGGCCCCGGCCGCTGCCATTGGCCGCTGTGCCCGCCAGTCATTGGCCGGCCCCACCGGAGCCCGGCGCGCGGAGGGTTAGGGCGGGATCACAGCGGGGCTCCCCAGCCGGCTTTCTTAAAGGGGCCGCGCGCCTCTTGCTGCATCACTTGCGGGTGGCAACGCCACTAGTTCTTCCCACGGGGCGGGGCCGGGCCGGCGACCCGCCGGCGGGGACTGTCCCTGGGGAGCCTGGCTGTCTGTCACGTTGCATAGTCCCCTGTAATACCAAGGCCCCCGGTGCAGGAGACCCTCTTCCCGTCTCCTGGAGTTCTGGGTTTCCCAAGGTGGTGCTGGCTGGCTGGAGGGTGTGGATCCGCAGCCAGGAGGTGGCCTTGGGCCGGAGGGAGGCCGAGGTGAGGACCAATGCAGAGCAGAGAGGGCAGGGGCAGAGGCGGCAGGCCTCCACTGCCAACCCACTCCCGGCTCCCCACACCCCGAGAGTGAAGCTGTAAACCCGACCCTTACCACCCAACTCTCAGCACCCTCTTTTCTTATAAACAGAGGTTTTTATTGCTTTTGGTCCGCACTGGCATTTCACATTATCTCAGTGTCCAGGGCTCCTGGGTGGGGGTCATGCGCAGTAGGAGGTGAGGGATACTAGCTAGTGGATCCAGAAGGGGAAGAGCTGCAGGGGAGGTCTTTAAAATCTGCAGGACCTGAGGGGAGGGGGACCCTTGGTGAGGGGGGTCTGGTTTTCCCCAACCACTGAGATTCAATGTCCTGTCGGGGGGGCCTTGGTTTCCCCGCTGGGCCCCTGGAGAGGACCCAGGGCTGTTGATCTTATAGGAATGTGGTCCCTCAACATGCCTAAAACATTTAAGGGCTACAGCCTGGACCCCTCCAAGGAGGCCCATTTCTGAGCACTCCCCTCTACCATCCCCTCCCCATCCTCCTGAAAAAAAAAAATAAAAAATATCGTTTTCTTTGGTTAAAACTTCCTGAAACTTCAGCCGGTACAAAACCCACAGGCATAGGGGGAAGAGATGAGGAAACCGGAAGCCATGGGGGGGGCCACCTTCCCGGCTGCCCCCCTCCCCCCTCCCCCATAAAGCTAGGTCCACTGCCCCTGGGGAATCTGCTTGGGGTGTCCCGAGGACCCCCACCGCTGCACGGGCACTGCCTTCCCCCAGCTCAGTCTGTGAAACCCGAGCAGGGAGGGAAAAGCCCTGGCCCCCCACCCAGCTGCCCAGACCTGCCTGGCAATGCTTTAAAAAAGAAGCAAGAACCCAGAAACCCCCCAGAGCCCAGGTGGTGCTGCTGCCGGCAGGGGACCCAGCACACGGGGGGGGGGGGGGGGGGGCCCCCGCCCCCCCCCCCCCCGGGGGGGGGGGGGGGGGGGGGGGGGGGGGCCCTCAGCAGCCAGCCTCTTCCAGGTAGGGGGGACGTTCTGGGGCCTCCCCGGGGCAGTCGCTGGTGCCCACCGCACCACCATCTGCCACAGGGCCTTGTGGGCAGTACTTGGGGTCATATATCTGGCGGCCCAGGCCAAAGACCTGGCCGCTCTGGCTGGCCCCCTGTGTGTAGCCCATCTGCAAGGACATGGAGGAGCTGTCACACCTGTGCGTCCCCAGCTTGGTGTCATAGATGTGCCGCCGGGTCCCAGGCGCAGTCATGCCCACCTGCAGAGGGGGAGCGGGCCTCAGGGGAGGAGGGAGGGGCCTTCCCATGGTCTCCCCCTGCTGCCCGTCCAGGCCCAGGACCCCCACTGGGCCCCCCAACCTCAGTAGACACTTCTGACTATGAGAGGGATTCTAGGCTGCCAGGCACCTGTCCCTTGCTCAGCCCTGACTACTTAAAACCAGGAATGTCCGCCTTCCCCTTGACAGCCTCCGGCTGGGACTCAGGCCTGCTAGGACCTGAGGGCGCCAAACCCATCACACTGGACAGGTGGGACTGACTGGGCAGAAAACATGAGAGTCCCAGATCTAAGAGTGTCAGTACTGAGGGACCCTAGGGCACAGAGCGGGGCTGTCACTTCCCCAGGCACACACTGCAAGGGGACAGCGGGGGTTCAACAGGCAGGAGGGACAGGAGATAAGGCTGAGCTGGCCGGCAGGGGGCCAGCTGAGGCTGCGGGATGGCCCACCTGGCTGGCACACTTGTTGGTGCCCATCTGCAGGCTGATGGTGGAGTGGTCCATAGGTGGCAGGATGTGGTTCTTGGGGTCATAGAGATGCCTCCTGGTGCCATACGCTGTCATGCCTGACTGACTGGCACACTTGTTGGTGCCCATCTGCAGAAAGTGGCTGGAGAGGTCAGTGGTCCCTGCCAGGCCTCCAGACCCTCAGGAGGTCAGGACCTTGGGGGACATCTGGTGCCCACCTGCAGCCCGATGACGCACTGGCCAGCCTTCATGGTAGCATCATCAAAGTTCCGCTGCTGCCTCTCCGAGTACTTGACCCCGATGTCCACACTGCTCTGCAGCCCTTTTGTCTTGGCCTGGGGTGAGGGGAGCTGGGAGCCTCAGGAGGGGCAGGCACAGGGACACAGACACCCTGCCCAGCTCCACCTCCTCCTGCCCAGCCTCCTCCCCTCAGAGACCCCAAGCCCCTTCCCACGCAGGAGCCTGGCCCCAGGCTCAGCTTCCAGACCACCGGCTCCTGGACACTGAGGACACGTCTGCAGGGCACGTGTCAGCCTGCAGCAGGTCCAGGACTGTAGGACCCCTTGGCTGCCCCGGCACCAGACTGTGTCTCTGGCCGAAGGAGGGCAGTGCTGGAGCCTCAGGGCTGCTCAGAACCAAGTGCAAACCCAGGAAACGAAGAGCCTCCACACACAGACCCCCCACCGCGGTCCCCTCCAGCCTCACCTTCCCAGCCAGTGCCAGCAGGGCCACCTGGACCTGCGTTATGTTCCCACTCTCAAAGAGGTCGTTGGCCTCGAACAGGTCCACGGGGTTCATGCCGTAGCTGACCATGGCCTTGATGAAGTTGGAGAGGTTTTCTAGCTGGGAGGAGCCAGGGGGAGGAGAGTGAGTGGGCCCGACCTCTGACATGGCCCCTGCCCGGCCCCTCCACCAGCCAGCCCTCACCTGGTGCCAGTTCTGCATGGAGTGGTTGATCTTGGGGACAGAGCCCGGCTGGAGCTTATTCATGAGCCTGAGAGGAGGGACACGGTGGGGCAGGAGGGCCGCCAGGTGAGTGGTCACCTTCCTGGGCAGCTTCAGCCCCTTTCTTCGCAGACCGCACCTCTGCCCAGCAAGTCCAGCTGCTACAGGAGAGCCCTGGTGGTACAGCCTGAAGCCCTGGGTGGGGGGGGATCTGGGACCCGCCATTGCAATGTGTTGTGTGCAAATCTGGAGCTCTGAAGGGGACAAACAGGGTGCTGGGAGCCAAGGCCCCCCGCAGCCCTACCCTGGGGTCACAGCAGGGTGCCTGGCCACACGCCTGTCAGCCCAGCTGCCCAAGTGACTCAGGCAGGAGGCAGGAGTCTCAGGCCAGCTCAGCCGGGAGCCATCTGCTCAGTGCTGGGCGCCTCCCGGCACCCAGAGACCTGGCCCCCGAAACAAGAGGAAGAGAAGCAGGAGCAACTGGGACCCTCAGGAGGGCAGCTTGGGCCACGCGGGGTGCCCCGGCAGGGTGCACTCACGTGCATAAGATGACCCCATCCTTCAGACCCTTCTGGAAGTCGGGGCCGATGGAGAGGCCCGTGAGACCCTCGATCCAGGTGCGAAGCTCTGCCTCCTTCTGAGGGTCGTATTTAGACAGGAGCTGGAGGAGCAGAGGGCACTGGGCTGAGCCGGCGAGGACGCCCTGCAGAAGCCTCCAGATGGGGAGGACAGGGACTCCAAGGGAAAAAGAGACAGAGGGGCCTGGAGGTTCCCACCCTGTGGGAGCAGACATGTCCAGACTCCCCTGGTGACAGTGGCCTGGCTCCACCTCCAGGCCCTGGACCAGCCGGTGCGACCCCCACATCTCACCACCTCCCACGTTCCAGTCACCACACCCAGGATGCTCACGATGGTGTGCGGCCGTCACCACAGTCGATTCCAGAACATTTCATCTCCCCAAATAACCCTGTCCCCCATGCCCCCGGCTGGCTCCCTGAGTCCACTGCCAAAGTCTTGGACTCTCCTGTCCTAGCCTCATCGGGCAGAGTCACACGCTTGCATCTAGCTCTCACCAAGCAGAGGACCTCAGGTCCCCCACACTTCAGTGCATCACCTGGCTCTCGGTCGTGGCGGAGGGACACTCCAGGGGGATGGACCACTGTATGCGTCCATCCATCTGCTGGTGGACGTTTGGGCTGCTGCCTTTCAGCTGTGTGGATATGGCCGCTGGGGACATGGTGCGGTGCCACCTGTCCTCACACTCCTGGGTGTGCACCAGGAGAGGAGCTACGTGTCTGGGTCACTTATTGGGGAACGACTGGATTCTGTTTCTGGAACCAGCTGTGCCGGCTCCTGCCCCAGGGCCTTTGTACAGACCGCTGTGCTGACTCAGGTGCTTTGTGGCCAGGCTTGAAACGTCCCTGACGGCCCAGCTGCCATGCCACCACCCTGCCTTCCCTGCTTGCTTCATGCCCGACCAGCCTTCACCTCCGCCTCCCTCCCTGGGCGCAGCTCCTGGCTCTCTGGTCCTCCCCCTGCATGCCTGCTGTCAGCCCGGGGCTGCACAGCAGGACAGAAAAGCTCCGAGCCCACACGCACAGCCCTCCACCCAGGGCAGCGCCTCAGACCAAGAGAAAAGCCGGGACGAGAGGCCGGCAAATCCAGGCAGGTGTGTGGCAGATGCCGCCAGCCCCAGGGCAGCTCCTGAGAAGCTGATGCTGGCCCTTGGTCAGGACTGTCCAGCTGCGTGGTTTGTGCTACGGATGCCTGTCCTCCTTTCTCAAGAAAGAAAAGGGCCCCTCTCTTTCCTCTGCTCCTACACCCCCAGGGGTCCAGGAGGATGGCATAAGTGTCCTTTGCAGACCTGACTTCCCAGGTGACTGTGGGCAGATGTCCCCCTCCCAGCCTCAGTTTCTGCCTCTTAGCATGGGACAAGCTGCATAAGGGTCCTCTGCGATGCGCCCCACTTCCTGGCTCCTGCCTCAAGCCCTGTGACTGGGATCAGGACCTGGCTGCACAGGGCAGTCAGCAGGAGGCCTGTGAGTCCACCTGCCTGCCCCCGCCCCTGGTCTCCAGGTTCCTACGCCCTGGGGCAGCCTTTGGAAGGGGGGCGGCTGCAGGCGGTGATCTCCAGGCTGAGAAGCCTGTGGGGCACCAGGCACGCCCTACCCAGCTGGGCCCCGTCCCTGACCGCTCTGGTGACCAGGGCTCCAGGTCCAGCCCTGCTCACAGTGGCCTTCCTCCCTGGCCACGGGCCTCCTACAGCACAAACTTCTCACCACAAACTGCCAGGAATGTGGCTGTGCCGCCCTGCTAAATCAGGACCAGCTGTTCCAGGCAGTCCAGGCCTGGCGGCCAGCTGGGGTCCTATGGCACAGCTGATCAGAGACACACTGGATGCTCGCCTGCCCCAGCACTGTCTGGCCAGGGTGGACGAGGCATGGGGATCGTCCCTGGGAGGACGGTGTGTGCTGAAGCCTCAGCCAGTTTGCCTCAGGGTGGACCCTTCAGTGCCCTGCAGCCTGGTCAGCCCAGCGCCCATCCTCCAGTCCAACAAACCGAGGGCTGGTCACAGGGAGCCGCCGGGCTGCTCCTTTGGCCTGCGGCCTCACCCCTCCAGAGCAGTACTGAGCTGCCCCAGCCCACGGTCTCAGAGGACTGCGCCTCCCCCCGTCTCTGTCCATGTAGACCGCCCAGGAGAACCAGGAGTCCAGGGTCCACTTGTGCCTGGGCAGCAGGAGCAGCCTCTCAGGGCCTTGCCGTGCCTCTGCACCCACAGGCTGCACCGGTGGGGACCCCAGAGTTGGCACAGGGTGTGCCGGGAGCCCGTGGGCCTCAGTCTCTCTGCTGTGAAGGGCAGGGGAGGACTGGAGACCCCGGCGACTGCTGGAGGCTGCTGGGGGCTCCCTTGGCCTGCCCAGGCAGGTTCCTGGCCAAGGCCGGGGGCAGGGAAGACAGCTTCCTCCAGCTGACAGGGCCCCAGAGCCTCAGGCCAGGTGGGTCGGGGTCACCAGCCACGCGCCCTTCCCCTCCTTCCTTAGGAGCCCTGCTGTGTGACCCTCTAATGGTGTCTGCCTCTCTGAGCCCAAACTAGAAGCGGGTCTTAAGGTGACCTCCGGGGCCCGGCTCGGGGTTTCCAGGGGAGGAGGCCCACACGTTTGGGGCCGGGTGCAGGGGATCTAGCTGCCTCGGGTGGCTCCTGGGCCCCAACTTCCTCCTTCGCCCCCCTCCCAGGTGTTGGAGGCCTGGAAATTCCTGGGGGGCTCCTGGGGGGGATCCCCGGCCCTTCTCAAACCCGCCGGCCCCGCCCCCTTCCCCGAGCCCGGCAGAGGAGGGGCTGGGGGTCCCCGCGGACGCCAAGGGCCTTCTGGACGCGGGGCGCGGGGCGCGGGGCGCTGTTCCCCGGACGTCGGCGCCCCGCGGCCGCCCGCCGACCCTGCCCGACGGCGCGGCCACTCACCCGGCTGCGGACCTCGGCCGAGAGCCCGTACGCGGGCCCCTTGTTGAACTGCGAGGAGCTCATGGCTGCACGGCCACCGCGGGACTGATGGGCGCCGCCCCTCCGCCCGGGCCGCCCACTGGGCGCCGCGCCTGCCCTTATAAGGCCGGCACCCGCCGCCCGCCCCGTCCGCCCGGTCCGCCCCGCCCGCCCGCGGGAAACCGAGGCCCGAGGCCGGCGCCTGGAGGAGTCGGCCAGTCCTGGGGCGACCCGGGAGGAGAGGGCCAGATGGGCAGGTGGGCAGCTCCCGGGGCGCCCCGTAGGAGGAGGGGCTTCGCACGGGCTGCGAGGGAGCCGGCAGGTGGCAGAGCGGAGCGGGGAGCCCGGGGCTGTGTCCCCCCCCCCCCCCCCGCCGGGACCCCCGCGGGCCGGGTGCTCGCGCTGCCCAGTGGACAACAGAACGCACAGACTCGGCGCCCTTTGCTTCCTCATCCCTGAGTGTTTGCCAGAGGAGCCCTGTCTTCAGGGACAGCCCCTCAATAGGCCAGACGCAGCCAGGCACCCTACCCACCCTCTCCCCTTTGAGGAGAAGCCAGCGGAAGGAAGGGCCTAGGTCTGGAGCAGTCTGGAAGGAGAGCGGGGGACGATAAAGAAAGGGCTGACAGGGGCGTGGAACGTGGGGCTTTGAGGCACTAGTAGGAGTTGGACACATCTGATAAGTGACAGGTTGGGCTTCTGGAGTGACCCCTTCCCATTCCCAGGAGGGGACTCCCCCATGATGCTCTGCTCCCTGGATGTCTGTCCCCTCTTTTCTTATCTGTCATTGTCCCGTTTCATCTGAGTTTGGCTCCTTGCCAGATGGTTTCGGCAAATCCTTTCCTTCCTGGGTGTCAGTCTGATCGTCTGTAAAAGGGGGACCAGTGGACAGTGGGGGGGCTCAGCAGGCATCTCTGAGCCGGGAACAGCCTAGTTTATTGGTGTCCAGACAGGGCATGGACTGTGAGGGTGGCCCTGTGCCAGTCCACCCGCACCCTACGATCGTGGCTTCTCGGTGCTGTGGTTGCAGGCCCAGGAAAGGCGCGGACAGCATCTGCCCAGCGAGTGCCCCGCGGCACCTCAGGGCCTCCGTCCGTCTCACATCCCAGCCCCTGGTGCTTGTCCAGCACCTCCAGCAAGCCAGTGGGACTCCATCCTGGGCTGGCTCAGAAGGGAGGCGGCCCGGGATGCCCGCCGTGCCAGCCTGCAGCAGGAGGTGCAGGGCAGCAAGGGGTCCGGGAAGGGCTGGCTGGGGCCCCTGCAGAGAGGAACTCTGGGTGGCTCCAGACCCCAGAACTGCCCTTCGCAGCCCCCCAGGCACCACAGCTCCTGGACCCGCCTGGGTCTCCTCATGACGCAAGGCCACCTCCCAGGCATCCAGAGGCACCCAGATACAGTGAGAGGCTTAGACCTGGGCCAGCAGGACAGAAGCCCCTCCTGCGTTGTGTGCCCTGTGGCCGCCGGCGCTGAGGGCAGCTGGGTCTGGCTGTGTCCCCTGGCAGTGCCCCGGCCTGAGCTTCCGGGGGCCACAGGGGCACCCCCAGCTGGATTTCCTAATCAACCCTAATTGTGAGTGAGAAGGACCCACCTGGCTCTGGCACCTTCAGGTACACTGAGACAGGCGGGTCCTGCCTGGGTTTCCTCTCCCTGTGAGTTTTATGAACCCTAAACAGGCGTGAGAAACCGGGGTGCGCTGTGGGGCGGGGCGCGGGTTCTGAAGGCTGGACCAGCCCTTGGCTGACTGCACGCGGTGGTGAGGGTCTGATGTGAGAGCCACAGACATGCTTGGCGTGGTGTTGGGGACGGGCCCAGGGCCTCTGGGGGGCTGGGTGACGCTGTGCCGCGGAGCCACACGCCAGCCCTGAAGTGGGTCATCCAGGCTGCTCACCTCGCCTCAGTCCTTCCTGTGGGCCTCCCCGAAGGCCGGGTGAGGCTGCCCAGCGCTGGAAGCTCTGCTCCGCTTTCTCAGGCCTGTGAACTCAGCATGGCCTTCACAGTAAGTCCTCCAAGGAAATCGAGGCTGAGCTGCGCAGCGCCGGCACCCAGCGCCGACCACGCACGCTGGGCACCGCTGCAGGCAGCCTCGCAGGCAGAGCTGGCCTGGCCACTTGTGGGGCTGAAGACACCGCCTGGCTGGCTGCGTAGAGGGCAGCCTGCCTGCCGCCCCGGCCAGGCACTCAGCGTGCCTGACCCCGGCCGTCAGGACTCAGACGTCCCACAGCTGGAGGTCCTGGGGTCCTGGCACTTCAGAATGCTACCACTCTAGAAACGGAGACCTCACACTTACCAAGGACACTCTTCTGTGTGATCTCCAGACTCCGAAGCTTTCTAGTCCCATGGCAAAGCCTGGGTTCCACTCCTGCTCCCCACTTGACTGTGTGACTTTACAAAATCACTCCACCTCTCTGTGCCTCCCCTTCTGTAGAAGGGGTGTGATAACACCTGCTGGCGGGGCTGTTGTCAACATGCGGTGGGTCATTGGTGAAGCCCTCAGAAGGCGCCCGGCGGGGTGAGAGGGCTTGTGGAGTCCGTAGCTGTCCAAAATCTCGGGAACACCGGCCAAAGAAACCTGGCAGGGCCCAGGGACTTCCGGGCTTTCTCTGTGGGGACTCTGTGGCCACCTTGTTCACCTTAAACCCCAGCGTGTGCTGCTACCCTGTGGGGCTGGCACTGTAGGTGGCAGTGTGGTGACCCTGCAGCAGCCACTCCAGGAACAGCCTGGGTGCGCTAGAGGGTCAGGTCAGAGCAGCCTGCGCTGGCCTGGCCACCGGGCCGTGCCTGCTCCCTCCAGTCTGTCAGTAGCCAGGCCCTTCTGGGCACACAGGCAGGAGGGCCCCAGAATAGCGGTGGGCGTGGAAGCCGCCCGCCAAGGGCGGTGGAGGCCAACCCGGGCAGGTGAGGGGGCCCCTGTCTCAAGGTGAAGGAAGATCCGAAGCGCTGGGGATGCAGCTCCTGTTGTGGCTGCCCTGGTTTCCTCCTCCCCTGTCCCAGACCCCAACCCAAACCGGTAGATGGCCACAGGAGCCCCAGAGGGCGCTCCCCACCAGGGGGGCCTGGGAGGCTGAGCAGCCGCCACCGCGCCTTGAGTCCCGGCACCCCGGGCTCTCCTCCCTGCGGACTGCGCCCTGTCCCTGCAGGTCCCAGAGCTCCGTGAGGGCCCGAGAGGCCTGCAGTGGTCACAGCTGTGTCCCTGATAGGAGCACAGGCAGTGGGACACTGAAACTCATTTCCCCAACCCTATGTGCCTCTGTTCGCCACAGGCCTGGGTGACAAGTTGTCCCACGGGGGACAAGCGCTTGAGCGGCTCTTCCTCTCCCGTGCTGGTCCAGGCCACCTATGGTGGCCAACTGCCTGGCTTTGGAGGGTGGGGGTGGAATAACTGGCATACAGTAGGTACTCAATGAATGCTAGGTCCAAGGTGTCTCCAGGTTGCCTGAGGTGTCCACCAGGCTGGGACACTAGTCCGTGCCCGGGAACAGGGTGGGGTTGGGGCGGTGCAGGTGAGGCCCAGTGGGCGTGTTCCAGCGCTAAAAACGCCTGGACTCTGCAGCACGTCCAGGGCCAGCTAGGCGCAGCCTGGTCTTGGCCTGCGGTGTCCTGCCCACCTGTCACCCCAAAGACCGAGGAGGTACCATAGCACGCAGCAGATGCACCCCGGGACCGCCTGACAAGGGGAAAAGGGGAAGGTTTCTAGGGAATTGGCAAACGCAGCAGGGTCCGGGCAAGACAGCTTTATTCTCAGGCATGCAGCAGGCGCTAGATAATTGCTTCTGCCAAGCATTGTTGCGCCTAAAGGACGCAGCACATAGCTCATCCTACTCGCGGATGTAGACGTGTAGGTGGGGCAGCCCCTATGACGCTCTCGCCTCGCCCTATGACGACATGGCATCCTCACAGGAGGAGGGTGTTCAAAAATATGGAACGCTTCACGAATTTGCGTGTCATCCTTGCGCAGGGGCCATGCTAATCTTCTCTGTATCGTTCCAATTTTAGTATATGTGCTGCCGAAGCGAGCACAAACCACGGTGTGGTGCTTCCGTTATTTAAAGCCCCCAAAGCAAAATTACTTTACAATTAGGTGACTTTTGAATAGTTTATACGTACCACCACTTCTCAGAATGGCCTTTGGAAAGATATTCGTTGTGATCATGTTTACTTTGCGTTTCTCGGATCATGTCCCAAAGTGGTCACAAGTGGACTAACTTAACCGACCGAGAGCGGCCTTGTAGCCGCGGAGGCTTGTGGGAGGGCCCATGCAAAAGAACTCGGGCGGGGCCTCCGCGGGCGGCCACGGGCATCCCAGGATGCCCCGCGCACGCGGCGGCGCTCTGGCCTGTGCTCTCGCTAGCGTCGCAGGCCCCGGCGGACGCGCGGGTGAAGGCTAAGGCGGCGGCGGCGGCGGCCGTGGGCGGCGCGGCGAGGGCGGCGGCGGCCGGGACGCGCCTTGGGCACCCGCCGGCCGCTAGGGCGAGGCGGGCGACATGTCGGAGCACGCGGCGCCCGCGGCCCCGGGGCCCGGGCCCAACGGCGGCGGCGGCGGCGGCCCGGCCCCCGCGCGCGGCCCGCGCCCCCCCCACCTGAACCCCAACCCCCTCATCAACGTGCGCGACCGGCTCTTCCACGCGCTCTTCTTCAAGATGGCTGTCACCTACTCGCGGCTCTTCCCGCCCGCCTTCCGCCGCCTCTTCGAGTTCTTCGTGCTGCTCAAGGTGACCGGCCTCGACCCCCGACCCCGACCCTTGACCCCGCTGCCCGCCGGCCCCCTTCTGCACCCCGAGGCCTGCGACCTCTGACCCCGGTCGCCTGCCAGTGGTGCCCTGGGGCCGCCATAGTAAGCCGAGTGTGGTGGTCGCTGGCCCTGGCCGCCCCCAGCCCCAGGCCTGGAGCCCCGCCCTGACCAGCCGCGGCTTTTTCCCCGCCCTTTGACCCCTGACTCTGCATCTGGGATACTCAGCCCTAGGACCCCTCCTGGCAGGTCCTGGGTCTCCCCTGGGGACAGTCTGCTGGGCGTCCACTGGTATCTTCCCCCAATGGGGTCTCCCTGTTCTAGGACCTTCTGCTCAGCTTCACAGGGCAGTGTGTGGACTTGGCTGGGGTCACTGCTAGGGTTAGTGCCTAAGTCATGGCCACCACTCCTCCGGCCTGCTTAGGGAGCTCTGGGCTGGCTGATGGCACCTCCTGTGACCACTTGTGTTCTTCGGGTGACCTGGAGACCTGAGGGCCTTTGGGAAGGACAGGCTGCAGCCTGGGGCCCTCTAGGAAGGAGCCTTTGGTGAAGGAGCCAGCCATGCCCCTGGTTCCAGGTTTCTGACTCGTCCCGGGAAATGGAGAAGTGGCGGGGCACACTGACGTAGCTCAGCCAGCAAGCTTCTCCTTCCTGTCTGTTGAAACGGGCTGATACTGTTGGACGGGGCGGGCGAGGTTGTGAGCCGGTTCCCAGCCATCTGGCAGACCTGGGACCTGGCCCTGCCACAGCCTTCAAGGGAGTGCCCCAGAGCCTGCAGTCTGTGGTCTGCAGATGGGCTGGTGTGCCCAGGCCTGAAGAGCTGGCTTCCCCAGGCTGGCACTCAACCCGACGTCCTTCGCCCCTTCTTCCCTGCAGCGCCCGAAGGGCTTGGTCTTGTGGGTACAGCTCCACAATCAGGTTGTGGAGGGCTACTGAACCGGGGTCCTTTATCAGGCTCTGTGTTTACGTGTGTGTTTTCCTTGGGACACGATAGAGTGGCAGTCTCGTCACTGCAGGTGTGTGTTCAATGCTCGGTCCTCTGTCAGCATGGGCCTGGTGGCTCCGCTCTGTCCTTCCCTTTCTGGGTCTGTGTTTGGCCGTCCCTGAAGACCCAGCACCCTTTGCAGGCAGTGGCACTCGGGTAGGCCGTGGGGCTGGGCCACAGCCGGAGGTCTTCCTTGCCCTGCCTAGTTAGAGTGCTGGAAGCTGAGGGCCCGGGGACGCTGGGTTATTTATGGGAACCCTGGTGGAGACAGACCAGACCCACACTTCTATCTTGTTTGCAAAGCCTGTCTGGGACCAGCTGGTCCTGAGGCTGCACTAGCTTCCCGGAAGCTCCACTCCTCTGCTTCCTGCGCCCCTGCCTGCCCTGCTTCCCCACACTGCTGCAGGGGGAGCGGGGACCTGGCTGCCTACCTATGCAGCCCGTGCTTCTGACATTCAGTCCCCTGTGCCTGAATCTGGGGTTGTTGTCAAAATGGCCCTGTAGTGCCAGACTCTGGGTAGGGTGGCAACTGGACCATTGTTCAGTGGGGCCCCCTGGAAGGTCACTCTGCTGGCCTCAACATCCACCTCTGCTGGTTTCATGGCCCCAAAGCCAGAAAAGCAGAGACCGGTTAGACCTGGAGCGGCAGGCACCAGGTGCCCGGGCCTGTCTAGTTGGCTTCTAGCCCCAGCAGCCTGACCCCAACAGCCAGTGAGTGGATGCCTACAGGGTCAAGGTGTTCTGACATGTGGTACCTGTCACAGGGTGGGCAGTTACTGTCCCTGTGGTCGTGGGAGTAACAGGCTACCTCTTAGGGTCACTGAGGATCAGGAGGACTGTAGAGGTTCACATCTACAGAGCTCTGAACTGGAGACCTGTCCCATTGGCTGTCACCGTAGAAGGCAGTACCCCTGGGATGCTAAGCGGCCTGAGTAGTAGGGAGGGCGGGGACCCCTTGAAGGTTTTCCTGGCTGGGGCTGAGGGGCTCTCTGCACCCTTTCTGGGGAGGAAGTTGTGGCTTATCATTTGATCAACAGAGACGTGGACTGGCAAACAGAGAACGGCCTGCCCGGTGGCAGAGTGTGGGGTTCCCTGAGAACCTGGGGTGTGTACTGAGAAGGTTTCCTGGAGGAGGTCTCAGCATCGCCTTGGCAAGCTGTGTGTCTCTGACCCTCACCCAGGGCTCTGGGGCAGTGCTGAGTGGGCAAACCCAGAGGGAGAGCAATGCCAGGGGCATGGGAAGATGCAGTGGGCAGGGTCTGCAGGTGAAGTACCGGAGCATCTCCCCAAGGTGAGGAGCAGGGTGTCCAGGAAGCAGGGCTGGAGGGCCCTGGTGTGCTGGCTGGGAGCCTGGAGGCTGCTTGTGGGGTGGCCGAGGCAGGCTGTAGAGCAGAGGGTGGGCAGGGCTGGGATGAGGTGGCCGGTGATAGGCCCAGGGGTGTGTGGTCAGTCTGGCTGGGCATTGACTGTTCTTTGCTCTGCAGTGGAGAAATGGAGGCCTGGATGGGAGGCAGGCACTTGCAAGTGGGACGGAGAGTCCTGGCCCTGCTCAGTGAAGAAGGCCACTGGGGCTCAAGCTGGGAGCTCCCTGGGCTGGCCAGTGTGCAGTGGTGGTGGTAGGGGGTGTGGCCCCTGTAAGGGTGGCAGGAGAGGGCACCAGGGTGATGTCTGAGTCACAGCGTTTGGGGCTTGGAGGCACTCAGCTGAGTTCATGCACATCTGTGTGTAAATGCCAGCCTCATGGTCAGGTCGTGTCCTCAGAGAGCTAGTCACTAGAACCTGTGGGGTGTGGCAGGCTTTCATCCAGCAGCCCTCTGCCCCTGCCTCCCACACTGACGGAGATCCTCCTGAGGTCACCCGTCTGCTCGTGGTCAGAGGTCAGGTGGAGTCCTCGGTAGTGTAGCTCATGACTGCTTCCAGCTGCTTCTACTGGCCCTGTGACGTCAGCAGGTCTGTGACCTCTGTGCCTCAGTTTCCTCATCTGTAAGGGGGGTGTCAAGAAGTGTGCTCACGGGAAGTGTTGGGAGCCCTGGCTCTGGGCTTGCTGTGTCAGTGCCCTTTGTCACGTGCCAGCCTAGCATCC